GGGGTTATTATAGTTACCTAAAACTTAAAAAAACATGTTACTTGAAATAAAATAAAAAATATATATAAAAAACATTTTATTTCAGCTAGTTTAACATAAGGTACTAAAATAAATAAAATTTAATGAAAAAATTAAAATTACAATTCAACAAAATGACTAAAAACTTAACTAAAAATTTAAAAAAGAAATATAGTTTTTGTTATCCAGACACTTAGAAAAGTAAAATGACTAGAACGTAGTGTCTAATTGAACAGTTACTAGTCACTACTGGTTTCTAAGGTATTACTGGAATAAGTACTAGGTATGAAAGGTTACAAGTGAAACTGAAAAATATACTGGTCTCTATTTGATTAAAATCAAATATCTAAAACAAAGGAAAACAAGTTTAGTCATCTTACAAACACAAAGTCACCGGACCACAAACAAACCAAAAACTCAGCCCTTCTACAGATCTGACACTAGTGAAACTAGAGTCATTGATCAGAGACAAAACGCGAGGAATGCAAGTTAATGGTCGAACAGATAAACCAACCATTCCTCCTAATCACAGCACAGTGTAAACACAGCCATCATGCAAATTCACTGACCACTCGCCACAATAAACACATCATGTGCGGATTATTTCAGAATTAAAGAGGCATCATTCTTAATCCTGAAGTAAAATCACAGCGAAACTTTTCCTGCTGCTGATCTCATACGTGACGCTCCTCTCAGAAGCATTAACGAATATGCCACTAAAACTAAAAAAACTAATAGCATTTAAAAGACGTCGTATATCTCTAAACAAAACCAAAATGATTGTTTAGTAACAAAAACACGTTTCGTAAACTATAAACCACAATGTCAATTAAAAAACACGAGGCCTCGATGACAAAAACTTTAAACACATAACGTTAGAGGCTCGCGCAAAGTTTAGCTACAGAAGTTTCTACTCACCTTTTTTTAAAGAAACATCACATCATTTCAGCTCCAAACCGATTATTCCTTATCCTATCCTATCCTCTCCTCTCCTCTTTTTTACAGGACAGTTTCTTTTCTTAAGCATCCGTCGGCCCGGTTACAACAAGTGCAGCGCAGACAAGGGAACGACACGCTGCACACGCACGCGCGCGCACACTGCGAGGAGGCACGACGGGAACAGAAAGCGGCGCTTGTGTTCACCTGCAGCAATTTGGTGTTTTCTCTGCAATTAATTCTGCTATAGTTTCCTTATTTAAAGATGTGATATTGGTTGATATGCCTATAGTCAATCTAACTGATACAATATGTGGTAAAAAAAATTCACAGACTAAAAATAACAAGTCTATTCGTTCTCTGTTTTTAAAGGAGATTGCTATACCAAGCCTTGCTCTATTGCTTATTGGACTAAATTAGTTGGAAATCCTAAGTGGGAAAGCATTTGGTTATTGCCTCACAAGTTCTTTGTTACAAACAAGATAAAAGTTAAACATTTTCTCAGTAAGTTTAAGAAGGATATTGATGTTAACTGCTCTTTTTTGCTCTGTTTTCTCTGCAATTAATTCTGCTATAGTTTCCTTATTTAAAGATGTGATATTGGTTGATATGCCTATAGTCAATCTAACTGATACAATATGTGGTAAAAAAAAATTCACAGACTAAAAATAACAAGTCTATTCGTTCTCTGTTTTTAAAGGAGATTGCTATACCAAGCCTTGCTCTATTGCTTATTGGACTAAATTAGTTGGAAATCCTAAGTGGGAAAGCATTTGGTTATTGCCTCACAAGTTCTTTGTTACAAACAAGATAAAAGTTAAACATTTTCTCAGTCAGTTTAAGAAGGATATTGATGTTAACTGCTCTTTTTTGCTCTTTGCACACACAACTGTACCCCACATCTTCTGGCACTGTAGTTATGTTAAAAAGTTATGGTTTGATGTCTCTATGTTTCTCAAAGAAAAGGTACTCTTTAATTTTATTTGCATTTCAAAAATGTAGTTTTTGGATATTTTAATTATGATAATGTAAATAACGAAGTTTTTGTTATTAATCTATTTATTTTGTTGGTTAAGTTTCACATTCATAAGTGTACATTTTCTAACAAAAAACCCTGTTTTACGGTGTTTTTTAAAGAGTTGGAAAATTACTTGTGTACTATTCAACATAGTACTAATAGAAAGGCAATTAAAACTGTCCGTTTGTGTTCTGTCTTCAAAATATTTGAGTAATGTAAAGGTCATGCATGTCTCTGATTGTATATATATATATATTGTTTTCTTTTATCCTTTGTTACCCTTGCTTTGTATTGTTTTGTATATGTCGTTTAAAGCATAATTAAAAAATTTAAAAAAAACCTGCAGCAATTTGGTTGTTTTTGTCATTTAGTCGTTTTTTGTTGTTGTCATTTAGTAGTTTTCATTTGAAATATGTCTGTATAGCTGTTATTCCTTTTATTTCAGTCTCTGTTTGAGTTATTTTAGTACAAGCTGATCTAAAAGAGATGAGAACTGCTGCCTTGCCAACTAACTGAAGTTATATCATTTGAGTTTAGTTAACGTTTATTTTATTTCAAGTAATTAACTTTTTTTTGTGGTTTTATTTTGATGTATTATAACCCTGGCTCACACCTCCTGTTGGTTAAACACTCATTGTTACATTGAACTTCAAATTTCAGCTAGACGAAGCGTTTGCAAGATTAGGAGAAAGGGTGAGAAAATAGAAATTGAAATAAAGCAAATAAGACTCGAAACAAATATAGACGAAACACAAAAAATAATTGAATATAAGAGACAGTGTTTGTCTGTAGCCTATTAGTCACTCTCACAGTTTTGGCAAATGTAGCCTATTTTGTGGAATATCATCTAGTAGTATATAATAGTATAAAGATACTATTATATAGAGAGAGAACCTGCTAATTCATAATATGATTCTGTAATTTAGCATTAATATTAAGTTACAGCTTTTACAGTCGACCATGTTACACAGCAGGTGGCAGCAAAATCTCTTGAGAAACGGTTTAACTCCCAATAGTTCCACATGATTGTTTTTTATTACAAAACGTATAGAAACATACAGAAACAGGGAAGCGAGACATGAATATATTCCAGTTGCACGTGATTGTAAATGGAACGTTGCAGTGACGATGACGTCACTATAATGGCATATGGTCTGCATTCTGCAGAACCGTCTAAACAGAGTGTAATCAATGCTCTGGTCAACTCGCTTTCTTGTGCTCACACTCCTCTCGATATGGGTCTGATACGTTTTGCGCAGCTTTTAAATTGCGAAGCCAGCAATGGATATCGTTGCAACAAAAAGCGCGTCAGTTCCGAGTCTTCACGTGAAGACGTTAATGAACAAGACGTCTTGGCACAATCTTGGCGAATGGGAAGGGCAATATAGTGAGGAATGGGAGAGTGAAGGTCGCCAGATAGACCTGAGAGCGGCTGGTGATATGGCCCTCCACCACGGCGAAAGCTCCTGCGCCTCTTGGGCCGACGACGACTTCTGGATGTCCTGGGACTTGTGGGACGAAGTAATAGTCTGAGGATGAAGAGGAGAGGGCAGCGCCAGCCCCAAGAATTCGGGAGCTGAGGAGCCCGATCCGCCATCCCGACTGGCGCAGGTGTGGAAGGAGACATACTATGGAGAATAGGAGAAAGCAATCCCGTATAAAAAAGATCTGTGCGAACAACACAGGTCTCTGTATACGGGATTGTTCCAAAAGACAAAAAAAAAAAAAAGGAGGGTTGGGGATGTGACAGACTGGGGTTAAGAGGAGAGGCCAGCCTATAGTGACCAGATTTCTGAAATCGGGGACGTTTTCTTTATCAGTGGTCAAAATATCACGGAACTCTCTGGTATTATAGATTAATTTAAATAAACAAACAGTAAAATACATTAATGCATATTTTTATTGACTTAATTTTCTAGTTGATCAAATGTTATTGTGCTTGTTGAAATGGATTTTAACTATCCCTAAATGGGCTTTTGCATTCACATGTGCTTTCGGCAAATGTAATTGTTTTAAGTGCAAGTAGTTATGATGTGTGTTTGGGAATTACTAAATTGTGGCCGCTAACTTTCGGGAACATTTAAAACGGTGTTTGCAAAATCCCACACTCTGTTCAGGCAGTTATCTATTACATAAATCAGTATTACTTTAATTTAATATGTAGAGTTAGTATGTCACTACCTTGAATGAATCCGATAACCGTCTCTCTTTATAATTAATGATAAGTGCTTTGCTCTCAAATATCTCTACACAGTTCCTCCGGTAACCATGTTACTATGTTGGTCAGGCTTTTTGCAGTATATTTGAGGGCTGTTTTGAATGTGCTGTAAAACAGGGACATTTCCACGGACAGCTACAGTCTGGGACAGGACATCAAAAATCAGGACTGTCCTGAAAACGGGGAAGTAAGTGACCACTCAGAAGTTTACATATTTTCTCACAAGAAAAACGCCACAGAAACCCATCCATTCGCTCCTGTTGAATGCACCTCACTGCTTTATTTACAGCAGTTATTTCCATTGATATCAAGATTTGACATCTGAAGCCGAAAGCATCTAGATACTCCTGTGCATCTTGGAGCTGCTGGCTGATCAGAGGTCCAGGATGATTAGTATGATTTTCAGATTAGAAAAAATAAAGATTCGAGACAAACATGTAAAAACATTTCTACAACCGGCAATAACTCTCGAATGACAACATATCAACTATGTACAAAAACATCAATAATATATATTTATATATACTTTTATCATCATCTATACCCACTAAAATATATCAAAGCAGCAACTATTGGTCAATCTGAGGAACTCTTTTAGTCACAAGTCCTGAAAACAGTTTAAATATCCTTCAGCTGTAAATGTGTGAACACCAGGGGGAAAAAAGAAGAAAAAGAGCACAGGTAGGCAAATAAATAAAAAAATAGAGTCCAAAAATCTGTTTGTTCTCTGTGTAGTCTGGAATACTGAGTAGCAGGTAGAAAAGCAGTGTCTTGTACAGGCTTCTCCTGTAGACAGTTCTTGGAAGGATGCTAAATGTCATCCTACAGTTCCCAAGTTCAACAGGTTTGCCACCAAAGCCAAAAGTGTACAGATTCAGACACAGCTCCATGATGTCATGACATAGGTCACAAACAGAGTAAGGTCACTTTTTTTCCCTCTTAATTTCTTCTAGATTCTGTAACTATCCCTAAATGGGCTTTTGCATTCACATGTGCTTTCGGCAAATGTAATTGTTTTAAGTGCAAGTAGTTATGATGTGTGTTTGGGAATTACTAAATTGTGGCCGCTAACTTTCGGGAACATTTAAAACGGTGTTTGCAAAATCCCACACTCTGTTCAGGCAGTTATCTATTACATAAATCAGTATTACTTTAATTTAATATGTAGAGTTAGTATGTCACTACCTTGAATGAATCCGATAACCGTCTCTCTTTATAATTAATGATAAGTGCTTTGCTCTCAAATATCTCTACACAGTTCCTCCGGTAACCATGTTACTATGTTGGTCAGGCTTTTTGCAGTATATTTGAGGGCTGTTTTGAATGTGCTGTAAAACAGGGACATTTCCACGGACAGCTACAGTCTGGGACAGGACATCAAAAATCAGGACTGTCCTGAAAACGGGGAAGTAAGTGACCACTCAGAAGTTTACATATTTTCTCACAAGAAAAACGCCACAGAAACCCATCCATTCGCTCC